CTACTTTTCCACTAACTTGATGACAGCGATGCCCTGCATCTTGAAGCAACAACAGGAAGCCCGATGATTGGACCTACACCGACTGAGAGAAGAAACTGGGTCTCCTTTCTCCCACAAGATCCAATGACAGACCACTCAGAGACGGCAAAAAAAAGTTTGGGGAGGGGTCCACGCTGAGAAAAGGTAGACACTGAAAGGTAATTATTTAGCCTTACTCCTCTCGAGGATTATTCTCCTAATATTACACAGCTTATGGAAAGGCCAGCGTGGCCAAAGGGAGCCACTGAGGCTTCAATGCTTTGGTCTCAGAGACGAACCGCAATGCCCATTTCCTTGCTCATAGCGATGCCAAGTTCTGAAATTTAAGAAACACAAAACACTCTCCTGATCTTTTACTTTTAACCCAGTGGTTCTCAAACTGTGGGGCATAGAGCCACTTCAGGTGGAGTGTGGACAACTCTTACCACAAGAGTTTACTGACACCATCTTGCAGAGCTTTACATGTCAGAAAAATGAACCTAGATGGAAGTGTGCTTTAAATGAACAACAGTCAACAAGGCATTTAGTTTAGCATTTAAGCTCCAACTATAACGAAGGAGGCTTTTAAATCTACAGTAGCTGCTTAAAACATCGTACCCAGTCCACTTTCTTTATGTCCTCCATCTGAGTTTCTTTGTGTAAAGGTCTGCAAAACTTATCAGAGAAGATGAATTAACTTTGGACTGGATGTAATGATAACAAGACGAGAGACCTTGCAACGGGCAAAGATCAGAAGACAAGAGATGACTGTCCTTGTCTCTTGGGCTCCCCTCTGTCCTCCAAAAACATCCCTCAGTCGTCACAGTAACCTCAGAAACACTCCACAGCACGGATGTGGTCCTCTCCTGCCGCGAACCTCGGTGAAAGCTAATTAAGAAATATCGCAGCCTTCTGCGAACTCAATTAAATAATGTTAATTTATTCTAATTTCAATTTGGAGGTAGTCTGAACAGGAGGAGGGGCTGTGAAAACATGTGGGAGAGGAAGGAGAGCTCTGGCCTCTTCCTTCCCCCCAGCACAGGAGCTCTCACAACCTGCAAAACTCTATTTAATTTGATCCCTTCGACTAACGTGGGTAATCACTGAAGCCCTTCAAATGAAGGGGAGAAAGAAAACATTCCTCTAGTGTCTAATGTGAGTGTGCTTGTAACAAAAATTCATAAAGGGAAAAGTGGTAAAGATTTCATGTAAGATTATGCTTGAAATATTACTCGACATACAAAGAAATAGGTGATATTCACACAGTATACAGTAAGGAACAGCTGAAAAAAAGCTTTTGAAAAGCAAACACACACCAGTTCCAGGATGTAATGTATTGACAGATAAACCACAAAGTTGAAAATTCCTTACTGTTTCCAAGATTCTTTGGCAAATATTAAGATAACACAGAACTTTTTCTTTCAAACTTCTGCCCACGCGCATAATCCAACCTCCAACTTTTCTTTATATGAAAATAAGGCAAATAAGTCACGAAGCGGAAACTTGATGAAAATCCAAAGATCAGAGCATCTAAGTGTAGAGCGCTCTGACTACAGAATAGAGATGGAGATGAAACAAAAGGAGGAGCAGAGGATCACTGAGTTACAGCGAGGGAAAAGAGATGGACTGAATCAGACCAGACAGAGCTCACAGCCCGCCCAACAGGAACTCCCTCTGTTCATTTAAATTAATCCCACAGATGTTTTCATCCTTCCAGCTCCTTCACAGATGCTACACTTTAAACTTGACGCACTTCAGGATCTCTAGACGGGACAATGGAATCACATATTGGTATGGGAGCTGTGAAGCATCTAAAGCCCCTTTCAGACATGCTCTCCTTTCCATTATTTTCACGATATCTTAATGCGTCGGCTTCATGTGTCAAAGAACAAGGTCACTTCTCTGTCAAACTCGCAACAGCCATCTAAGCATTCGGACCTAATGACAAGTGCATATAAACTTTCAACATGGTAAAAACCGGACTCATGTGCAGTCATATGTACAACTTTACAACTGTGTATACATGACATGTTGGTCTTTCTGTCTGGACATCATAAGACATTCTGGATGAAGTTTCAGTTACGACACAGTATACACGATAAAATGATCTGCGGTCATTTAAGACGCCCATGGTTTTGGCCACAATCAAGCTATTATAATGTAGTCTGAATCTGGCATCAATAACAACGGTGCAGAGAGACAAACACTGAGAAGTGTAGCTACATTTCAAGTACTTTCTTTCTACAAGCCTTATTCACCGATTCCTAGAAGCACCTTTTAAGCTAAAATTCACACATTAACACTTTGATAGGAGCATTAAGGTTTCAGTATCTTGCCCAGCAATACTTCAGCATGCAGACTAGAGGAGCCTGGCGTCAAACCATTGACCTTCTCATTGACAGATGTCCCACTGTATCTCCTGAGCCACCGCTGCCAAGGTATGACCTACCTTCACATTTCCTCAAACACAAACATCACCCGAAGTAAGGCACCTTTAATTGATCATTGAGGCAAAGGCCTCCTTTTTCAATTATGTTTAAAAATACATACTCAAAGTCCTAATATATTGTTCAGAAAGGTGCTATCTGCATATCCTCTTCAGTATATAGCAGGGTTTTGTTGGGACCTACTGTCCACCAGTCATCATGAGCAACAAAACAAAAGCTTCTGAAACCTCTGTAGACGCTGCATTTACATCTGAATCTACATAAGAACTTGAGTTAGTGCCAGCCCATGTGTTTCACTGGCAAAAATCCAGAGCACCGAGCTCATATTATTCTTAACGTAAATCCAATCAATATGTGTAATACCTGTGTATAGAATAAGTGGGCGCACACCATATGTCATGTAGATGTCCTGATTTTCCACAGGCTGGCACTGAAGTGGCTGGTTTTAATGCAATGACAAGGAGGATGAGATTGCATCCAAGAAAACGTTTAATCCTAAATCTGTTGGAGTGAATGCAAACATCTTTCTCCATGACTGTAGTTGCCTTGTATTTTCTTGTTAGAACTCTTGCTTGGTTTTTACAGGTTTATGAAATATCTTCACCGAAGCATTGCTCGAGGCGCTGACCCTTAAACTCGTTTTCTATTTGTTGAGTGACCAGCCATTTAAAGCTTGTTCCTCTACTGCAGCGAATAAATGTGTTAAATGTAATGGTGAAACAAGACAAGCTAATCTCTTTCGGTTACCAAAGACAAGATTTCATTTAAAAAGAAGAAAAAAGAAAAACTCATTCTAACCCTTCAGGGCAGGTTTGTAAATGTAGAACTGAATATGGTGGCTTTCTGGATATCAATTTCTATTCACATTGTGAGATTAAACTGAATTCTGTGTGTGTGTTTATCTCAGCCCTACATACAATTTGCCCACATTGGTAAAATAAATATGAATGAAGAGTAGACGCCTTATATGGGAGAGGCGGAGGTTAGCTGTGTTTTGAGGGAAGGTTATAACTGCCCGAGTACATATTCACAGAACTGAGCCTTGGGCACACTGGAAACTATAAGAACAGATACATGCATACATTTACACTCTGTGCACGTTCCTAGCGTTATGATGTGTTGGTTTTGTCGTGGCCTCTCATAGTGGGGATGTCTCCTCTTAATCCTCCCTGACTTCATACATTCAAAGGTCATCTCACAGCCCATGTGTAGGCTGTGGTGTGTACCATGGTGCTGGGTGTGAATAAGAGGGGGAAAAAAACCCTATTCACACTAGCTGTGTATGCCAACAAACCCTGTAGGCCTATCCTTGTTTACTGTGAACATCCCATCTCTCTCGCGCTCTCTCTCCACAATTCCCTGGAAATGTTCCCTCTCTTTTCTGCCGTCTTATAACCCTTCACTATCCTCAGCATATTCTTCATTTCACCCCTCCTCTTCAGTCACAATTCATTCTCTAAACCCCACCTTGCCCCCTCCACACCAAGCTCCAGAGGCAGGGGCATCTCTTGGCGAAGTGTGGCCCACCACAGGCCACTGGCTTTGGGTAATTAAAGTGGTTTAGGCCCCCTCACCCATGGTCACAGGCAACTGCAGCTGGGTGATAAAGGCACTGTGCCATAATTACATGGACGGCCAGCATCACCGCCCAGCTACACTAAAACAGTCAGCTAGCCAGCTGCATGGGGAGGAGGGACCTGTGTGTGTCTATGTGTGTGTATGACTAACTGTACTGTGTTTGCGTGTATGTGTGTGCATGGGCACAGGGGGTCAACACCCCCTTGTGATCGCTCTGCTGTAGTTAAGCCCCCTGTGTTTAAGCCCTACACAGGCTCATTGAGCCCCTACACACACACACACACACACACTCACAATTTTAACCCCCACTCATCCCCACACCCCCAGCCAATCATTCCCCACCAGTGGTCTGACTCCTGCCGTGAGTGTGTGTGACCATCAGCCATTTAATTAGACCCAGCCATGATTTACCTAATTTAAATAAATAAATAAACATATGAAAACACCCCAATAAACAAATACCTATATTCAAATGAGGAGCTGGGGAGTTTCATGAGCATAAAGAATGGTGCAGGAGATGAGACTGTGCAGGCGGAAAAAAAGCTAATGTAAGGACCACTGGATGTGGACACACTACTGCGAACACACACATACACACACAACACACTCAAAATGCTTCAACTCACTCACTTATAATAAAACATACTGCACGGACGAGCTAGAGTGAATGACAGGAAGTAGACATGAGCTGAGATCTGTTGAATTTTGGGGTTCAAGCTCAGAGATTTGAATTAAATGTAATTAAATGAACTTAAGAGTCTGCGAGGCCGACAAGTAGTTGATGAGATCAAAGTTAAAATCAAAATCTTAAATTGCTTTATTCTAAAAGGTATATTTCTCACAATAGAAAGTAATGATACGCTGCAGACACAGCCACAGTGCATTTCTTTCTGTATTTTTCACATGCATCACATGGGGACAAATCAAGTTTTTTACATTCCAGCAAGGACTGCGTACCTTGGGGGAAGAGGAGGCCAGCTCTCTCCCTATCATTGCTGCCACTGGGCTGGGCCCGACGGGCTGGGCTCTCTCCCCATCAGGGCCAGATGTGGGTTTGTGGGGTGGTAAACTGGGGCCGAGCCCAGGGCTAGTGCCCGGGGGTGGGGGAGCTCTCCTCTTCTGGCTGCTGGCCACATCAGGTGAGGGGCCACCAGCATCCTGCTGCACAGGGCTCGATGTCCTTGGCTCGTAGAATGGGTTGGATCTGGGGGGAAAAAAAAGGGAAAAGAGAGATTGGTGTAATTTATCCATCGAATTTGTAAAAAGAATGAGCTGTAAAACAGTATTTCACTAGGCTGGAGCTTATTCAGAACAGCAGAGCTACACTGTTTTTGATGATCCTACAGAAATGATTTAAAATATTCATACTTGTATATAAAGTCTTAAATATTACAGTTATATCCCGACTCGCACTTTAAGATCCTCCTGATCTTAAAAATAAATTAAAAAAGCTAAACCAACAGACACACAATATTCTTCAACGAGCAGAACTGGGGATACTGGAGGGTGGAGGATAGCGCTGCTGGAGATTGTTTCCTGTTAAAAGGGGATTTCTTCCTCCCCACTGTTGCTTACATGGCATACTGTGATCTTGGGATTTTTTTCTCTATTATTGCAAGATCTTTACCTTGCAACATAAAGTGCCTTGGGGTCGTTGTTGTGTTGTTGTGAATTGGCACTATATAAATAAATCTGAATTGAATTGGAAAAAAAGCACTGATAATGGCCACACTAACTGTTCAGCCACATTTAGAGCAGCTATAAAATCTTCCTATTCTCATTTTTAAATACAAGTTTATAATATTTTCTTTTTTGTTTTCTTGTCCATTTTTGAATTTTAATGTGTTAGTGACTTTATTGTTTTTTCTCGTGTTTTCTCGTGTTTTTAATGTGCTCTTCTCCCTATGAAGTCCTTTAAACCTTTACATGTGATTCAGGGCTATACAATAAAACTAAATTTCCTGACTTACAGCAGCAATACAAGCATAAAAGGCTCCAAAATGCCAATAAAGTTAACATAAACCATCTCAAAGACAGACATATAAGCTATATAAGATATAAAACCTAATTTTTTATCTTGTAAAATTAGGTTGTCAAATACAAGAAAACATTAGAAAATATGTATATATTTTGCCTAATCATTAAACATTTTGTTTATAATGACCTATAATAACCATTAGGACCTTTTAAAGACATCCTAGGATCTAACTATAAATTCATTAATAGGGAAACAAAGGTATGGTGCAGCACAATGAACAGCACACAGAAAGTGGTAAGTTAATAGAAGATGCAGGTGCACTGAGGTCAGGACTGTGTGACCTCATATCCTCACTACCCAAGGTGGACTACTGACAGACAGGCCAGAGCACGACTGACTACATTACACACACGCACAAGCACTCACCAAAACACACACGCATACACATACCACAGTGTTATCAATACACAGGCATGCTGGTGGCAATGAAAGCAGGGGCACGGCCTTAAGACATTCACTCAACATGCAACAAGCAGTCCTAAACAAACAAGAGAATTGGATGGAGGAGGAGGAGGGGGTGAGAGGAAAAACTGATTGACTGGGTATCTGTGAAAGAGAAGGTTGGAGGTACTCAGTGTCCTACTGCAAAGTGATAGAAGGGGGAAAAAAGGAGGGAAGTGAAGAAAAGAAAAGGAGGCAGGTCTATAGAAAAGCTCTAACAGACCATCGCTGGCTAAAAGACATGTGAAAGGGCTGCAGTCAAAACACTGCGCTGCCCTCTTGAACTTTCTATTCTGCAGTGAGCTGCTCCTGATGTAAGAGACAGAGAAAAAGAAACACACCAGTCAATTCCTGTCTGTCTTTGGACAGCTGAGAGGAGTGAAACCTACGCCTGTCTGTGTGACGGCTTCGCTCAGTGGCAAAAAGGGGTTTACATTGACAATTTGGGCACGGCTGCTCTTGTGGAGATGGTCACACACTATTGGTGAAACGGTTCACTGATGGGAACACTTCAGAAGGATCCCCACATCAGTGTGAAGCTAAGATTCAACCCCTAAAGGTTGGCAACCTTTACTATCACAAGATAAAGTCTATATTGAGCTTTTAGAGAAGGTGACACAGCCTATTAAGTATAAAATAGCCTAACATTTCAGTAAAAACTGAGAATCACACATACACAACAAGCTACCTTTTTATGCTGCGTTCAATGACTAAATTTTTTCTTGTTCATTTATTTAATTTCAGGAAGTTCCACTGAGATTAAATATTTATAAGTAAGGGTTGCACAACACAGCCACCAAACTTAACTAAAATGAAAAATTTTAAAAATGCAGCATATACCAAAAAAAGTAAACAAATAACCAAAAAAACGCCTCCGTTGCCACATTCATCATATCTTTAAATTCAACAACAGATAGAAGCATCTTTATATTTTCTTCTTTACAAAGTAGCTGACAGCACTGATGAACCGAAATGATGCGGAACAGGAACAAGGAAGAGGGAATGGGAGGGTGGGGGTGGGGAGCAAGCGTAAAGGAGCTCCAAGGTGAAATAAAAATGAGCAGAGTCTACGAGGAAGTGAAGGAGAAAGAGGGAAAGTATGGGGCAACAAGTTGATGGGAGGGAGAGGATGGGGAGGACGGGTGGAAGACTGAAGAGGGAGACAAGGTTAAAGAATGCAGTGAAACAACAGGGCCCTTGTTCCTGTTGAAAGAGCTGCCTCGTCACTTTGCCCTGTTTGGAAGGGGGGAGCTGTGCCTACAAGTGCTCCTCTAGAAGGAGGGGGAGCTGCAGGACTCGGGTTGCCAGCAGTAATCGAGAACGTAACAGAGCGCTTTATGTATCGCTACTTATGAAGAAAAGTGCAATTCCTCCAATGGCCACTTGAGGCTGGTGATCTGAAACCCTTAAATCTACATGCTTTCTATTTGCCACCAGGGGGCGACTCTTCTGACTGCACAACGATTTCCAGTGGTGTAAAAGTCTATGGGAAAATGGCCCCATAGTCACTTTTTCAGCACAGTAGACACTTTCCCAGTCAGTTTATAAGCTCAATCACTGGTCTCTGGTCAATAAAACAATAAAACATGACACTTTAAAAAAAGAAAAATAGCACAGGATAAGGTGCATGCTCTATACTCAACAGCATGTTCACGCCTCATAGTTCAAACAATTCGTTGGACACTGAAACAATTGTCCAATGAATAACAAAATCTTACTTGTCGAGCTCCTCCTCATTGTGAGAAGTGTCCGCATACAGGTACTTGCTCATGTCAACGGGCCGGACACCTTTCCTCTGCCTGGGTTTGGGAGGTTCTGGATCTGGCTGAGGGTCTGTGTCCTGGTCAGGCTCATCAAAGGGGTTCCCCGGACATGCTTGTGTCTCTGGCTCATCTGGCTCGTTGAACGGATTTGAGTCGTCGTGGTCATAAAAGGAACTGTCGTCAGCCCGCTGCCGTAGGACCGGCTGGGCAGGGGGCTCTGACAGAGGACGGAAAGCATTGACAGCATGTACAAATCATGTTACTCCTAGACTTGACATGAGCTTTGGTAGCTTGTGATCTCAGTATGTTGAAGAGATAGACAGCAGAGAGAAACAAAATAAATGTGCCTTAACCTCCTAAGACTGGAACTCTTTCATGGCATACATTTTTATTTCTCTTTGCTATTTGGGCTGATTGGGACCTGATGAATGTAAAAACAAAGAATTATCTTTTTACCTGATGTAGTTTCTGAGAAGAGGATATCAGGCCCTTTTACAGTAAAATTTAGTATTGTGGTCTAGACAACCCAAAATGTGATGTCCACATATGTGGATGCCAGCTCCTAGAAGGTTAACTGCCTATTTGACTTTTCATAAATTGTGTGGATAATATTTAGTTTATTTCAACATTTTAAGGATCCAGGTCCCCTGTGTGGGCTCCTGGGTGGTGCCTGCACATATGCTTCATGCTGCCTTCACTGCCAACACAAGACAACCAAATCCTACACACAGCCACTATTGAATTAAAACAGCAACTGAATCGTCCCCAAAATAAGTAAACCTTTGTTGAAGATGATAAGGACATTAAAGGACACATGTACATATGTAAAAATATGCACTTGAGAAAGTAAAATCCAGGATTTAAGGCTGAAGATCAAAGACATCTTAAGTAAGCAAATAGGCAGCAAAGGTGTGCTTTTATGTATGCGAGAGCGTGACACTCAAAAACAAATACCTGTCCACTCAGGTGGTCAGACAAAAATATTGGTTTAGGTGTCTGACTGAAAGCATTGAAGCCTGATACAGTTGCAGAGGATTATACACATTCATGGTATCTGCACATCAGAACCTTAAAGCCACACTGCTCATCATCCCAAAGACTTTTCCCAAAGCAACACCAAGAAGATCGCAACCAAAGCCAGGCACGTTTTACAAGTTTTTACAATTATTATATATTAAAATGAAGTTGAGTGCATTTTCTTCAGAAGCTGGCAGAGCTGCACATACCTTCCTCATCAGGATCATCAAATGGGTTGAGATGGTTGGGATGAAGGTCGACATCGGGCTCATCAAAAGGATTGTTGTTCATGGCGGGAGCCGTATCCTGATCCTCGTCTTCCAGGAAGTTCAGCTTGTTAATTAGCTCTGTTGCCAAAGAGTTCAATAAAAAGTTATTTTAAATTAAACTACAGAGTCAAAACAGCTGCACAACAAAATGCAATGAACAAACAGCCACAAAGCCAAATGCACCAAAATCTGCACTTCGGAGTGAACCATTCAGTCTTGGATAAGAAATCCCGCTTGCTGGGGAGCACTGCCTAAACTCCTTTGTTCCTCAACCATTTCATCCTTCTTCAGAGCATATACAACAGTGGCATTCTGGGAAATTTTGTGTGGTATGGAGGGTTACTGTGGGAGACTGTGGCGAAAGCATGGTGTTGCTATGGAGTTCCCAGCTGGAGGGGGTACTTGTGTACTTTATCTTCACTATACTCACTGTAGTTCAATCGCATGCTGCCAGGGTGTGGGTCAGTTTGAAAAGAGTGTAAATGTGCCTGAGGTAGATGCCAAGAAATGTTGCTGAGAAACATGAAAATCTGAACTAGTGTAAAGAAAAACTGTGCTGAGAGCTACGTGTCCTGGGTCTATATGTAGTGTGGCTATGTGAAGTGGTGATGGCTGATAAGAGGAACAGCACTTATCTCACAACATTCATGGCCAATTTTAGGCCATGACAAGTGCACATGTCCAAGAGTGTGTTTAAATCTGTGAGAGGGTTTGTGACTACTCCTATCCAAAGAGAAGAATGTTGGAAGACCCCAAATAAACTCAGAAAACCTTGAGAGTACAAAGCTATGTTTGTTGTATATTACTGTTAGCCAACAGGATGTAATTCCCAGTTGAACCAGTGACTGGAGTTATTTGCCCAGATGAGAAAGGGAAAGCTTTCGCATAAAGCCCTTATTTATGCGATTTTTAATAAGATGAAAAAGTTTTGCAACTCTGCCCTTGCAAAAAAGAAAAACAAAACACTTTATTTAAATTTAGCCAAGGTGTGAAACATCACTGGTGGTATGACCCAGAATATCAGAGGCTAAATATTCTCAATTTAAAATAAATATACTTAATTCTATTTTGAAAACACAAACATTGCTTTGACCTGAAAGAGGAAAAAAGGGGCTTTTCTTTTTACCTGGTTTGGTTCACTACCAATTGCAGTAAAAGAGTGGGAAAGGTCACATTGTCAAATAAGAGAAACAATAGGAACCAAAAGGATGAACACCAACTGATGTGTTCACAACACCACGTACTGCACGTCACCACATGATTGAAGATAAATCGTACCACACAACACGACTACAATACCAATGTCACGAAGGATCAAGGGATAAGGGAGGGTAGAGCCAAAGAGAGAGAGGAAGAGGGGGAGACAGAACATTATGGGAGGAAAAATAAAAAATAAATAAATATGTAGATATAAACTGTGACACTGAGAGGTAGGAAGAGGCAACACAATGTTCACAAGACAATAAAAGAAGAATCGCGGGATGAAAAGGGGTGAAAGAAAGGTGAAAAAAGACCTTGGGAGGAAGCAGCAGGCTTAGCTGTTGCTTTGCGTGCTCGCTTGGGAACACCACCATCATCATCATCATCCCCATGTAAGCAGCTGAGGGCATTCAACTGGTTTACTATCTCTGCAAACGACAGGTCCATACAGGAAGGGAGGGAGGAAGAAAAGCAGTGAACAAGGCAAAAATAACACACACCATCCAGAATGTCCACACACATCCACACCGCACATTACACTGCACAATAACTCAGTGCAGACTGTTGGTTTGGTTTATATTATCATCAGTTCTATCACTAACAAGTCTGCAAGTACAAACAGATTAGTAAAGAGGAACACTAGTGTGAATGTGCATGCTTTAGTTAGTAATAGCGCTGCGATCAACCATTTAGCTGGTAAGGTCTACACTATAAAGTTCACAACTTTATAGTATTAACAGCCAAATGCAGTGTTTCCCACACCAACTTTACCTGGGCAGGCCACCTCAATCAAGTATATTTATGACTGCCTGTTAATGATAAATAGCTAGCTCGTCCTGTCTTGTGCTGCTCAAGCTTTGCTGGGCAACTAGTTGTTTGCTACGTTTCATATCAGTAGCAATATCCAGGTCCAAACACTCCTTCAGTTCCCAAAAACAAACAAAGCTCTGGGACATTACTGATAGTTTAAAACAGTCCAGATTTGTCCTGATACTAAACTTAATCTCAACGCCAGAATATGTTCTGAAGGGTTAAAAGTTTTTTGGGGGGGTCGGATCCAAAAACAAGAATTGAAGCACTGCAGCACATTAAAAAGGACAGAGCCTCGTTCAACGCTGGACCGGGAAAGAGCATCATTATATCATCACCGAACAAGCAGACTGTGGTGTTCCCATAGACTCTCTGTAAAGTGTACACTTGGAGGTGGATATCATTCAGCCATTTCTACAGTCTCTTCTCCTGGGGTTGAACATGCTCTACCCTGTGTCTTAGACTCCAGCAGGTCTAAGTAAGAAAGTCTTTCTTTCTCACTGTAACCAGAGCTGGCAGCATATGGAGAACTGGTTCATGTACCAACATGTCAAACTCCTGAAGGCTCCAGAGCAGAACAACAACTGTCATCACTCACTGCCATCCAAGATGTGGAAGACGTTTATCCCCAGGAGTAGAGACTCACTATTGCTCAGTTATAAAATATTTGCAGAGGAAACCGTGTTCTGTGGGAAACACTGCATCAGCACTGCAGTGCTAAATGCATGCACAGAGCCAAAAGCTAAAAAGAAAAAAACTTTATCTACTTTAAAATAACATTTCTGACATGCCTCCAGAGCTTCAGGTTCCAGACTGATAAATAAAGAGGTAATACTGAACAATGACTAACAACCCTATATAAACACACACAGAGTTTTATTGAGGTTTCATAATTTACATACAGCATATAAAAAGACAAAAGAGAACATGTGTTTTACAGCGTATGCGTTGGTTAGCCTAGTGTTAGTATTGCTGGGGCTGCTTGCTGGCTTGCTCTGGAGGTACCATTCAGGCAAGAATATGACAGTAGCGAGTTTTGGCAGCCCGGCCCATCCTTTGATTCAGAGATGTGTGCTAGTGAAGCGTAGCTGTAGGCGCTCAATGCATATACATATAAATGAGATGAAGAGCATGAAAAAGAAAGGAGAGAAAAAATGAAGCTTAACATGAAGAGGTGGCGCTTTGAAAAGTTGGATTAAGCAAAGCAGGAAGCAGCGCGGCCCGTACATGCGACCGTAGAATGAATCATGGATGTAAGGAAGGAGCCAAGCCACCGTCAGTCTGCCAGTGCAACCAATACAAGACGAGGGGAACGAGGGGTAACAAGGATGTGGGAAAGGCAAAGCAACAGAAAACGCCCTGAAGCAGACAATACACGGCAAATAAAGCTCATGAATTTACAAACTCTCACTTTTTTATTTGTGGAAAAACACACACACACACACACACACACACACACACACACACACACACACACACACACACACACACAAATTGGGGAAAACAAAGAAACCAAGAAGCAAAGTAAATGCCCCAAATGAAGCCTGGGTCCTGCGCCTATTCTTCAGGAAGTCTGGGAAATTTCAGGCATTTTGGGGATTTTGATCAAATGACCAAAAGCAACTTCAATGACTTTCAGCAGATAAATCTTTGATCTTACAAAGCAAAATAAAAAAGTGCTCCTCCAGTGTTTTACCTGTGATCTTAGCAGCTTTCTCCTCCTGGTTGACCCTGTTCTCCTCATCCTCCTCATTCTCCTCCTCAAAGTCATCCAGGTTGCCAATGTCCGCCTGTTTCATGCTCATCAGGCTGGCCAGGCTCTGCATGTCCTCATCACTGGACCCCACCAGCCCCAAAAAAAACCAAGAACCAAAACAATGTATACACATAGATAGAGAAATACATGCAGCTGAAAAACATCAAGACAGATAGGACAATTTAACCTACACACCCCACATACATTTAAAATCCATCTCTTTCAATCATTTCTTCACTCCAGACGACCATTTTTACACCTAAAACTTTAACACCCCTCCCTCACATTTTAAAGCTTCTTTAAAGCTTGGTTTTGACTCCAGCCTCTGCCCCACTGATGCATTTCTACATCATTTCTTGTATTTTATGTAGTCCTCTGTGCGCCCCCCTCCCCACAGTCCCTCGATACCACCGCTCCATCATAATCGCTGTATTCTCCTCTCTGTTCTTTGTGTTTGGTGTTTCCCAGGCCCATGGGCTCATTTGAACTGCTGTGATGGAGTTTGTTTGTGTGTGGTCGACATCATTCCCCGAAGGGTTAACAAGGGTTACGCGCCATCGACCCGCCATCCGCGACACAACAAAGGCCTCGCCGCTTTGCTCATGCTCAGTGTATATGTGTTTGTGTGTGTGGGGAGGGGTATCTTTAAATGAAAGTTGCTGCCATCAAATTAAAATGAATAACAAACAGAAAACACTGACTGAAAGCGCATGTCTTCAAATGAAAGATGGTTCAATATCTTAAAATGATTGACAAGTGTCTGTGTGTCTGTATGTACCTATAATTTAAACTGATAAATGGAACAAAAAGCAAAATTTCACCCTCTAACAGACTAACAAAGAAAATTTAGATTTTCAGTCACCTCTGGTTAGAAGTGACATAAAAAGGGTATTAGCTAGACTTTTATACCAAGCATGTGTTACTGGTCTGCAAAGGGTAACACAAATTACTCTCTTACTCACAGCAGGGATTATCAACAGCTTTACTTGTCCTCTTTGCTGCAAACTTGGCAACTTTATTACTTTTTAAAAAAATATCCTTTCATACCCTTCAGTGGATAAAAGTCTCTTCATTACTAGACTCTAAATTAGAGCCTAATGAAGCCAGACTGTCCAAAATTAATTGTGACCAATGTGAAAGAGTCATGTGGATATCTGTGGCTCCAATCAGTCACTAGTGTGAGACATTCAAAGTTGACTGCTGTAACGGTCTTGTGATTAAAGACAGCCTGCAACAAAATTTAACATGACGATCTCACTATGTGCTTGCTTTTGAAACATGAAACGACACACTGATTAACTCAACACAAGCAAAGGCAACAGAACAAGGAAGAAGTGAACATGGGTGTTGGGCCCAATTTGATAGGTATTATGCCTACATGCATCAGACTTAATGTTATAACTAGTGAGGGTTACAAACAACTTAGAACACTGCTGAATATCGCAACGTGTAACCACTTCCGAAGGATGTGGGTCATATTATAAGAAGACAAAAACTTACGTGGCCTTCCCCTCGCGGAGGAAAATGCAGGAGAGGGAGAACTGCAGCGTGGCTGACACCACCTTCTTGGACAGGGGCTTAAACTTCAGCTTGACATCTGTCTGTGTGGGCATCGGACTGGCGTATTGTTTCATGTTTATACTGCTAGTGGCCAAGGCCTTCCTCCGCCCTGATGGAGACTCCTGTGGACAGACAGAATTTAAGAAAGAAAAAAAGAGGTTGAGTTTAATTGTTTTTTTTATTGTTTTGAAACTTTCATAAAGTGCTGGGAGAGGGTTAAACTGATGGCCCATCACAGTGTCAGGTTTATATAAATCCAGAAGAAGCTAGAAGTGGGTCCGTCCTGAATTCCTCATTGTGAATTCTGCTGTAAAATCCCTCCTGATATTTCCTATCAAAGGTCCGCGCTGAAGCCATTTTTGCTGTACTTCTTTTCAGAGATGGGCTCTGGGCCAGGGGCTAGCAGTCAAATTAGAATTTGGGAATATGCCACAGACCAGGTGATAAGAGTTATACAATCAGTGACATGGCCCTGCGTGTGTGTGTGCGTGGATGCAAGCTGCTCACCAGAGGACCGTGTGTTAAAAATAAGAACTGCCGGAAAGCCTTGTCACTGACTGCTAGATATGGAAACTAAACAGTTGGGGATGCTCCAGCCTTTTGTCTGCCCTCCCTCCAACAAAAACTGATGGGTTTTGCCTGCTATGGAAGCACCATGCTGTCAGTGAATATCAGGCTGGTTCACCTCCTTGCTGTGTTGATACCACTGACATACCATGCCCCTCTCGGTTCTCTTGTGCCTCCTCTCTTTTAACTGATTCTGTTTTTGTAATGCGTTTCCTGGTTAAATGTTCTTTTTCCCTATTTGCATGGGAGAAGGCACTGATCTTAGCACCAAAACCAACCTGTCTCAAACGTCCCTTCACAGGCCAGCCAGAATGAAAGCAGCAGGCAGCGGTACGGCACATGTTCTCTTTTCTTTTTAAAATGCCTGGTTTCGCCCGCTCTCACTTTTTGTCTCCATTTCACTGCACGGCTGTCTAAAAGCTGCATCCAGCTATACCACAGAAAAATACCTACTTTTCTCAGCTGTGAATCGAGCCCTGAGGATTCATCCTCTCGTGCGCACAATACCGAACAAAGCAAACCAGCAAGCTCCCTTTCACACTACACCAGTCTGAGAGCACATATACATATACACATACACTCTGGCGGATAGGCTAGATAAAGAGATACAAGCTCTTTACATTGCCTGTTTCCTGATGTCTTCACACACAAACACATACACACACACACTCCTTGGACGCTATGGCTCTGTGGGGGAAAACTCAATCTCAGCCTTATCGCTGAGGACTGCAGGGTATTCACACACACTCTCACACTCACACACACAGAATTTGTATCAGTACAGAGTGGTAAAGCTTTTGGTAATATAGAGAGAAAATATGTAAGCTCCAAATAGAGATTAAAAGTGTTACAGGCCAACCATACGAGACCCAACATGTGATACTCAAACTGCAAATAACTGTGGCCGGAAATACTGAAGAAGTGGACACAATAAACACTGAAGTAAACAATCCAAGCCTTCACCACCTTATATGAACTTTGCACATGTCAAATTATATTTTACCTATAAGCTAACAAATTTGATAACACATAATAAAACAAATAAGTTGATGCTTGAGACAGACTACTCTGAGGGGAGAGAGCCTATGCCTTTTCAGATGACAGTTCTTTTTCAGACGGTTTTGCTGACTCCATCAAAGGGAAACCTCCACTGGAGTGGTCTGGGATGAGAATTGGGATCTCAGCTGGGAAAGAGTGAAGTACTCATTCTGGGTTGGAAATGTGTTTTTAGAGTAGAGGATGAATAAAGAATTGCAGCAGCAGACTGGCAGATGGGTTGGCCTGTACTGGTCTGCTGTGTGAAGAGAAAGCTAAACATATAGTTTAGTCATTGGTCTTATTTCTGTCCTCAGCTATGGCCAAATAAGCTCTGGTGGTCTCCCAAAAAACAAAGTAATGGATACAAGTGGTATAAATGAGTGTCTGGGCTCAACCTTACACAGATGGTGAAGAGCTGAGTTATTCAGAGCTGCTACTCTTCCAAGTCAAGAGGAGTCAGTTGAGGTGGTTCAGGCGTTTGACTAAGATGCCACCTGGATGCTTCTTAGATGAGGTGTTTTGGGCAAATCCAAAAGAAGGAGACCCTGGGGGCAGAACCAGGACAGGCTGGAGGAGAGGGAGGTCTGCAGATTGCTGCTTAGACTACTGCCTCTGTGACTCTCACCTGGATGGATGATGGGTGGATGCTTGGCCCAATTAAACACAATAACACTTGTAGAAATGTGCAAGAACCAGTGAAAAAAAAACTGTTGCGAGTTGGCAGTCGTTTTCTGTAATCAGAATACATTAATAAGGGTATAAGTGGGCAAAACGGTCTATAAAAAGGCTATATGAGCGTGGCATTTTCAATGAAACTCAAGATTATCAGTACATTTTAAATGTCTGGCCCTTAATGCCATTGTCATTTCTCGGTGTGGCCTTAAACAGTGTGAAACTAAGTTTGACACTGCTGAGGCTAAAGCAGCTGGCATGTGGTAGCAGTACAGTAGAGCACAGCCAAAGACTGTGTGAACCCAGTTAGTATACATCCTTGCTCAGGAGTGAAAACAGCTGATCTGAATCTGTATCTCTAGCCTCTACTCCACCTTTCCATTTCTCCATCTCCTGTCGATATCCAACACTACATCGCTACGAACCCTCCTATCCTTCCATCTCTCTCCCTCTTTGCCTCCTCCTTAGTACCTCACGCCTCTCTCAGACCAATAAATAAATAAAAACTACAGAAGCAAGGCCTCTTGACATTTCCTCTTGACATTTGAGCCTTGTTGCTTTGGCTGGGGAACATAATGACATATCATCGGCACAGTGATTGTCCACAGAGCAGCCCCATCAGGACAGGAAGAAGATGAGGAAATAAAAAATAAAAAAGCACTCTCTTCCCACCTCTTATCTCTCTGCAGATTACACCCTGGCTATTATACTAAGCTAATAGCGCATGCAGATACTTTATGAATGAATTTTCCAAATGCACTAAACACTTAAGAAGAGGGGATTTAGCAAAAAGGAGGATGGGGAGAAAGGGGAGGTGGGGAAAATAGGAAATACTTAAGGATATGCAAATACTCTGACGGAAGAATGGAATAACCATTTCAACAGATTTGAGTAGTGGCAGCAAACAATGGGAATGTGCTCCATTTCCCCAGATGCTACTTGTCAATCAATGTGTGTGTGAGAGAAGGTGATGGTGAGTGGGGAAGTGGAGGGGGTAACTGGGATTAGAGGGACTAGGAGGTTGTGACAATGTGTAAAATGAAAAGGGAGGACAATGTAGAAGTTTAATTTATTACAGAGAGGATAGAACTATCAATATGCTCTTTTCCTGAGCCAGGAGGAGGACTAAATGTGTGTGCAGAGGAAGCACAACAGGAGTAGGAGAAGAAGACGGGCACAGGCAGAGGATGTAGGATGTAAAGGAGGGAGGGGTGATGGCTGCATGCTGCCCCCTAGTTGCATCTTTTTACAACTACAGTGCATCAACAGAAATCAAGGTTAAGCTTCTACTTGGAATCTATTTAACTCAAAAATTCAGGCTCTTCTTAAAATAAATAAATAAATAAATAAATAAGAGCATGCAAACCTGAAACTACCCACAGTGCCTCATTTTTTTTATAAATTCCATTCAAGAATAGTGTGTCTGTGTTGGAGCAGACCTCGTCTTAGACTACCAGTCCTGCCTCTCTCCCCCTGGTGCCAGCTGGCCCTGGATCGATCCACAGATGCTCCCCTGGTGGGGGGGCAGGGGTCAGGGCAGGAGGGTGCCCGGGGGTCCTGCTGAATCTCTCTGCCCTAAAATGCCAATGGGACGGGCCGGAGAAAAGCAGGGGTAGGGACCCTTTTGTAAGGGAGGGATGGATTAATTATACTGAGTGCTAAAAAGAAACCTGCCTTCTTTGTTCAGACCTGGTTTGAAACAGACAGTTGGGTAGTGTGTTAAACCACGTCAAAAAGGCGACGTTCACACTGCAGGTCTTAACGCTCAATTCCGATTTTTTGATCAAATCCAATTTATTTTGTCTGCTTGTTCACACTACAAATAAAATGTGACAGCAAACGCGCTCTAGTGTGAACGTTCAAAGTGGCCCGCATGCGCAAAAGAAGATGTCACACACAACGCGCTCTGTTTAGACCCAGAGCAAACAATATTGTTTGACTGATGGCCCTTAATATAAAGACTTCGGACTTTACGTTTTCCAATTTTTGCTTTAAGTTATTTTATTATTTACATAATGGTAAATGGCCTGTATTTATATAGCGCTTTACTAGTCCCTAAGGACCCCAAAGCGCTTTACATATCCAGTCATCCACCCATTCACGCACACATTCACACACTGGTGATGGCAAGCTACGTTGTAGCCACAGCCACCTGGGGCGCACTGACAGATAATAATGTAAATAACCTAATAATTATCCTTACTGCTGTTTTAGAGGAGCGGTGCTTCAAAGGATAGCTGCAGATTTCTGTCAGAATCTGCAGATTATACAGTACAAATAAAACATTCACGTTGTCTTCCCAATAGTTTCACTAACATCTACACTGGATGGCCAGGAAGTGTTCACGATGTCTTCTCGGGCGCTTCTCCGGCGCTGATAATTGCCGTCTGTCTTGTGTCAGTGACGTAAAAGATGGATTTAATGCGATATGACCGTTCAAACAGCAGTCGCTTCCTAAAACATCGGATGTGTATCGGATTCAATACCACATACGAAAGTGACCCAGATCGGATTTGAAAATATCGGATTTGTGCCGTTCACACTGTCATACCATGATTGGATATGGGTCGCATAGGCTCAAAAAAAAAAAAATCGGATTTGATGAGCTTTCGCGTGCAGTGTGAACGTGGCCAAAAAGATGTCCAACACACACGATCAGCTAATGGCTTTTTAACACAGGTCAACTGACTTTGATTTAAACAAACGTTACATTGAGCCATACATTCACCATCAATTTAAATCTTATTTATTTATTCTTAAAATACACTAATACAATAAAGTATACATTGTATTATTTGTACTCCACTGGTGGCTGATATTGCAGCTTTGATTTAAAAAAATAAAA